AAAACATCACAGTCCTTGCCGGTATTTTCACATTTTTCTATTTTACCTTTATAAAAACCTGCTCCCATGTTCAGCGTTAAACCATTCAAGTCAATCTCTCCAAAGAAGCTTAAAGCTGAAGTTTAATCTTCTTATATTTTTGGCATTCTCTGCTTCCTTCTTTTGTCCCTCAGCAACATGCTGAGATTTTTTAAAGAAAAACCTGTATTCGTTACATACCTTATCTTAGATCAGTGTTGTCATTACTGGGTCTCTATGCTGCTTTATGCAATGTAGGCAGATCATGGCTGATGGGAGGGGCAAGCAGGGTACTGTACATAGCTTCCTGAAAACATCACAGCACCCTGACTCAGTACTCATCCCAAGGGCCCTCAGCCCTGAAGCAAGCAGTGGGTGGCTGCTGGGGGAGTAGTTATGCAAATATCAAAATGCCTCGATGGGTAAACGTCAGTATGGAGGAGTGGGTGTTCCTAGGAAGGTTGGCTTTGCATGCAAACTGCCTGAGGTCAAAACCCACATGGGATGCGGAGCCTTTTAGAATGAAAGACATAAAATCCAATAAAGGAAAGGCGAGGGCTAAGGGACAGTCAAGCTGGGGAGAAAATAGCTAGCAAAGTTCAGGTGGCTGCATCTGATTTGCTGCAACTTCTAATGCACACTGAGAAAGTCACAGTATGCAGTGACTTCGTAGTAATTACAGTACAAGAATGTACAACTATGCAAGGCTTAAGGGAAGGCTGGAGTTCAACTTTTAGTCACTGGCCAGACTGGGAACAAGCTAGCTGACCTATCAGGGCACAGAGAAGCTCACACCAATACGGGGATGACATAAAAACTGCACACAAAAAATGCGCTTGGTACAGACAAAACAAGGCCATAGTGCTAACTAGATTACCATACTACCAATACGTCTGGTCAAGTTTTGGCTCGCCAAATGGATTTCCAAACCACAGGTGGACTTCAATAGAAAGCCTGCTTTCTAAAATAGATATACGGAATAAAAAAAATGGAAGACTACACGATAAAAAAATGGCAGCTCTGATTGGACGGCCAATGCATACACGTGGAAACCAAAAAAAAAAAAAAGATTACATAAACAGCGCAGATAATCCACGCCATGAATACACGTTAACCTGCCTTTCCACAACAACTAAAATTAGACCTCAGTAAAAGGAGAGAACAACAATGAAAACATGTCTCGGGTGCGTGAGCAAAGAGAAAAACATTCTATATTCTCAGATATAACAAACGTTATCCGCGCCATTTGGAAGTGACAGGAAAATGGAAGCATTAGGTCTGAAGTGCATTTATAACGATGAACAGCATAATTACCCACAACGCTATTAACTTGTGTGACTTTCCTGAAACGTGACAGCAGTATTATACACACAACAATGCCGCTGTAATCGCACAGGCAATTTAGGGAAAATGGGCTTTAATTTTTTTTTTTCTTTTTTTGGATTTTTTATGATTAAAAATAGAAAAAGGGGGCCCGTTATATAGAGGCACCACTTAACAGGTAATTGAGCAGGCTAAATGAGATGTGCAAAGTGCATTCAAATGCAGTCTTTGCTAAACTCATAGGACCTGCACAAACCTGATTTCTCAGCAGCAGAGTTAGTAACCTGTTTGCAGCACTGCAGTAAAGCATGACTATATACTCTGTGTAACAATATATACAGTGGGGATCGAACGTTTGGGCACCCCAGCTAAAAATTTGTATTAATGTGCATAAAGAAGCCAAGGAAAGATGGAAAAATCTCCAAAAGGCATCAAATTATAGATTAGACATTCTTATAATATGTCAACAAAAGTTAGATTTTATTTCCATCATTTACACTTTCAAAATAACAGAAAACAAAAAAATGGCGTCTGCAAAAGTTTGGGCACCCTGCAGAGTTAATATCTTGTACTGCCCCCTTTGGCAAGTATCACAGCTTGTAAACGCTTTTTGTAGCCAGCCAAGAGTCTTTCAATTCTTGTTTGAGGTATCTTTGCCCATTCTTCCTTACAAAAGTCTTCCAGTTCTTTGAGATTTCTGGGCTGTCTGTCACGCACTGCTCTTTTAAGGTCTATCCATAGATTTTCAATGATGTTGAGGTCAGGAGATTGTGAAGGCCATGGCAAAAACCTTCAGTTTACGCCCTCTTGATGTAATCCCCCCGTGGATTTCGAGGTGTGTTTAGGATCATTATCCATTTGTAGAAGCCATCCTCTCTTTAACTTCAGCTTTTTCACAGATGGCATCAAGTTACCATCCAAAATTTGCTGAAATTTTATTGAATCCATTTTTTTCCTTCTACTCGTGAGATGTTCCCTGTGCCACTGGCTGCAACACAACCCCAAATCATGATTGATCCAACCCTATGCTTAACAGTTGGACAGAGGTTCTTTTCATTAAATTCTGTGCCCCTTCTTCTC